CTGATTTATTCGTGTACGCACCAGACGGAAAAACAAAAAATATCGTGTATCCACAAGCACTCCAATAAATAAATAGAATTGAAACGACACTTTGAAATGTTTTTCCAATGAAAATGAATAATAATAATAATAATATAATAATAAGTTTCAATAAAAATGATAAAATGTAAATTGAATTTTATTATAACGAGTTTGCTTGAATTTCGTTTCTTCTGAGATCGCAGCAATGCGCGACGGGTAAGCTAGTTATATAAATAATATACAGGGTGTATTAGAATGACGTTTTAAAAATTTGGGGGATTGTAGAGGATGAAATTTTGAACGTTTTGATATAAGGAACCAGTCAAATTCCGAAATCACACTAATCACAGTTCACAAAACGTTTATAACAACAAATAAGATTTACATATACTTATGATGTTCACAAGAACTACAAATGACAACGTTTAAGATTTGCAAAGTAGCTTTTCACACACAAAATAAATCAGAGTCCAAAAGTCAAGTAATCCACTACAGGTCCATCAAAAAGGTCACCTTGTGATGTATTCCTCAGATGTAGTTATATATATATCCCTTCAGACATTCATTACAGCTTGGCGAGATGAAACCACCTTCTTCAACAAGATCATTTTAGCAACTAACTTGACTTAGACGAGCTTAGGCAAACTTAGACAAACTTCGGCGTACTTCAGTGAAGTCAGACCAACTTAGCTCTCCTGCCTAAACCCAATCTTTTTATACGGATTGAAGAAAACGCTGATCAACCAATCAGCGTTTTGTAGTATTATCAGACATCTTCCAATCGTACAATGATCACTGGCCAATCAGCGATCGTAGATTCAAAACTACTGGTCGTTTCTTGATCCGAGTTTCTACAGTGTCGATTGTTGCTTGTTTGAAAAGAAAAAGGGCAGGAAACGTACATTTTATTTTGACTTGGTTCTTGGTCCTCTGACTACCTACAAGTCTGGATTTTTTTTATGTGCAAATGATTTGGGTACCTAATATTCTGTGCCAAATATCAACTCTTGACATGTACAGTACTCCTTCATATCTCTAAGCTGGTAACATAAACCAGTAGTATGATTTTATAAACAAGACATAGTCTTGTCAATAAATTAAAATTTAATAAAAAGAACCAACTTTTTTATTTTCCAAAACACCATTAAAATATAACATTTTAAATATGAGCAATTATTTATTGTAACATTGTCATAATGCCAGGCTGCAATTCTTAATCATATTTTTAATTAATTTAATTTAAAATATATGTTCTCCATCTCAAATTAATACTGTAGTGGCTTGCTCCTATACATCATACTTTTAATATCATGCTCGCAAGAGTCATGCCAGTCATCTATCTAACTCCATTTGGGAAAGTTTTGAATTGAAATAATGTGACTTCCAGTTTGCATCGGAAGTTCATATATAGTTAATTGAGGCCTCATACCACTAAGCTTTTCATATCTGGTTTCAACTTTCATGTAAACACCACTCTTGAGATTAAGGAAGACTGGATAGACAGACAACAATGGGAATATATAGGTCTACAATTTTTTCAAATTGCAGCCCAATAATATACAAATTTATTACACTTCATTTAAAATATTTAAATACTTAATTTTAACTTTAAATAAGTTTAAATAATATTTTAAAATATTTGTTAAGTAATAAAATAAAAGCAAAAATGGTCCCCACAGGTCTGTGGAACACAGTTTACTTTCAGAACTACTGTGTTAGACCTATGTCATGAAACATTTTATTGGATTTGAGAACATTTATATCTGATATCAATTAACATTTCTTTCATTTCATAAATTGGTAACACTTGTTACTAACCATAACATATAAGTAAGATTTCAGTATGGATTTTTTATAGTTATTTTTAGTACAGGTATTGAAAATATATGACATAATTATGGTATTGTTTTAAAGATTTAAAATCTATTAAAAAGGAAATAGCTATTATATATTATTAGATTTGATAAAGGAATTGAATTTGATTTCTTTGATATTTATTCATTTGTAATGTGAAAATATTTGAAATTAATGTTAAGTTATAAAGTTATAATGTTATACTTTTTTAAATAATGTAATTATTGTTTTAATAAATATAATATTAAAATTGAATAAAGTTAATAATTAATAATTTTTAAAATAATTATTAAATTTTATTATTAAATTGAAAATTAATATTCTACATAAAATTGATGTGTGCATAATTTCATATAGCATTTGTGAAGGTGAAAATGCAAATATCTGGAAATATTGTATTCAGCACATTGCATCGTTGAAGTAAGTGTTACAAAAACTTTCAGAAATATTTCCTATTATTATTAATAAATATATTCAAATTTACTATATTTTGCAGATAGTTCTTAACAGGTTTCTTAATTTTAACATTAATTGCTGTGTTATTGACTTCTGAAATTTTTATATGAATTTTAAAAAGAATAAGATACAAGAGACACAACAATAATTTATTATTGTAATCTGTTTATATATATGTGACATATGAGGATTGATTGACATAAAATTTATCAATCAATAAATTAGATTTTCTACTGCAATATTCCATGAAATATAGGATAGAAACATGTGATCACTGCTGTTTAGTAGTATGAGTCTAGTGTATATGTGTACAGTATCAGTTTGTCATGCTATGTTATGTAACAATGAAGTTTAAACATGAACTTCTCTTCCTGAATCCATACAAAGCAATGAATACAGTGATCAGTGATTTAATTTTTATTGTAATTGTTTGAAGTTATATGATCCAATCTCTAAAATTATCTACCTTATTATTAAGTATAACATTCATTCATAATAAAATCCATACTTTTTTAGCTACCAGTACATTCAAATTCCTTTTGTCCAACATTTTCAGAATTTCATCATCATTCTTAGGATCTACTCTAATTCTATTGAATGTCCCGTCAATCATGCTTGATGGAAAGATTTTCCTCTTTATACCTGAAGACATTTATACAAAACTTAGGATTTATCTATAAATGAAACAAGCAAAAACAATATTAAACTTACTTGTTAGTTGGAATAAAATGGATAGACACCCAAACAACAGCAGCATACAAGTATATTTAAGCATTAAAAACACTGCCACCCAATCAAAATTTCCAACAATTAAATGTATTTTATTAATTTAATTAATCAAATTAAACTGATCAATTCCAGAAAATTGACATACAAAACACATTTTCATTGAAAATAATCTTTATGCAAATCAGAAAATGCAACACAGCAACCATGTGGTATGCATCCAAATTCTGATTACTTGAACAAAACTGACATGCTTTTTTCTATAAATGAAACAAACAAAAACAATGTTAATATCTGCTTAGTTTGAATAAAACATAGCTTCCTCCGATTGGAGGTTAATATTGAATGTTTCAGATATATAGATGTGAACCAGAGGGGAGGTCAGAAGTCGGCTGCCTCTCACTAGTCAGGATGATACGTCAGGCGAGTGGAGGGAGTGTTGCTTGGGGTCGACGATAAGGTGAAGGGCGTGATCAAGTAAAGGAGTCTACCATATTTAACCAATTTAACAACTATTTATTAAACTAAGCAAAATGGACAAAGAGACTACACAAATAGCATTTCTACACCGCCTAATATGCTTGAGAGAGAGTTTCCCACTTTTCATACCTTTTTGTATGTTCCGTGACGAGTAAGTCTGTAGACGCACTTAATTGTCCAATAAAAGGTGGGTTTAATCCAACTGAGGCACAATTATAAAATGTTCGCGACTTTGGCAATGATCTGTTATCGACGATCGAAATTCGGAGTTCGGTGGGTTCAGAGAATCGGTGTGATGTCGTAGGTCCGGCGTTTGTTAAGAGACTCCCCCGAGAGGGGGTAAGAACTGTCTTTTATAGGTTTTTGTGGGGAATTTCCACCACGTGATCAGATGTTCATGAGTTAAAGGTTATAGGTGTTCCAGGGACTTAAAACAAATGATGAAAGTTGGATGTTAACTGTAAACTTTTCTGCAAGATGATCCCTAAGTTCTGCAGAGAACAATAGATGTTGATAGTTATGACAGGAATGTTTACACAGTCCCGGCTAAGATCGATTTTTTTTTCCCAATTCATTACATAAACGAAAGTAAAGTAATTAAAATTTTAGTTAATAAAAGAACGTAATTTTCGTTACAANCGAATTGGAAAAAAAAAACTTTTTTTACGGGCCGAACCAGAGGCTGCCCTAGCAAGATTTTGAGATGGTGCGAGATCTTATTGTGGTGTCACCCCGTAGAGACTAGATTGTACTGTACATAGAGATTACAGATACATTTTTCACATTATCGCGCATTATCAACATTCTACAGTGTAGAATCTACACTGTGCTGAAGACATTTGTAATAGAGCGTTAACTCTAATAGCAGAGTTACTTGTTGACTTTTTTTTTAGCCGTCAGAATTTTTCGTCGAGATATTCAGACTATTAAGTAGCTAATATTGACAGATCATTCGCGGGCCACATAAATTTATTAGACGGGCCGTAGGTTGGCCATGCCTGATTTAGCTCGTTGTTTGTGATTTCTGTCGTCTTGGAACTTTAACGATCATACGCGATTGTTTTTCTATCCATCAAATCTTTCCCCTTTTCCGAAATTGTTTTACTAAATTGACTATTTATGAGCGCTCGAGTCAGCGTTCTATCTGTTTACGAGAGCTTGTGTCAGAGTTTTACCTTTCGGTTTGACATTGACAGATCATTTAACACGTGTTGGAGTCATCCCGGGACTCATTGCTTACATTTTGTGCCGCGTTGTTTAGATCAAAGAGTTTTCCTCTCTCCCATATTTAGTCTATCGTTATAATTTAAACATAAAAATTTCACGATTTTAAGCGATTTCGGACCTCGTCTGGGAACTCACAAAATTTACGTTCGTATTAGTTCAAACACGTTCGACACAGGAATGCGCACATCACTTCGATACAATTATGTCACGGGCGACATTACACAGCCATTCCGGGGAATTAAATTGTCACACCTTGTATCTTAAAACATGTCAAATTAACCGTACTGTATATTGAAATGTCGTTATGATTTTTATACTTTTTTTTTTTAAACTCTTTCCGCCCTGTGGGCATTAAGAGAATCTCTTTAAGCAAGTCCATTATGGGTTCGGCAAGACCCACAATGGGGCGGCTGGGCGGTGAGGGAAGGGGGCCGATCTATCCGGACGGACCACCCCTCGAAAAATTCTTGAGGATTTTTCGACCCGTCCGGATTCGATCCCGGATACTCCAGAGCAGTTGGCTTCCACCTTGATCGTTTGGCCATCCGGCCTAAGTCCATGTAACCGAAAATCATTACATCGTCTGTCGATGGTAACGCCGCAAAACTAGATCATATATGGAATACTGTATTAAATTATATTTTGAATAAATTAATTTTTCTTCAAATACAGCAATTGCATTAAAGTGTTATTTTTCATAAAACTTTAAATACAGTCAGGGGCGGATCTAGGTTTTTCGGGGCTGAGGGCTTATTGGAGTCCAATGGGCCCCATTTTTTGTTAATACAAATATTGCTATAAATTATCGTCATTTTTATATTATGAATATTAACTAATTTTTACTATACGATAAGTGCTAATCGTTACTGAAAAAGTATTAAAAATTTATGTTAATAATTCAATTTTTGTGGGCCCTTGACACTTGGGGGCCCAAGGCTTAAGCCCTATTAGCCCTATATAAATCCGTTCCAGAATACAGTGCTTGATATTGTAGTCAAAACATAGGAACAAACGCGTTTCTGGACTATCAGAAAGATCCCTACTTCCATAAACTTCTGATAATTGAGTTTCCACTGTATATATAAATAAAATTTTACTTTCATAGACAAACAGTAATAAATAAAATTTAAAAACTTAAATCGTAAATATAATTTTTCTTCCAACGAAATATTTTTCGAATAATTTTTCGTATTTTATTTTTAATTTCTACCGCCAGGCGGAAGACTTTTAGTGAGGCGAAGGCGCTACTTATGAAATTTCAGTTGAACGTTATTAACTGTCAAAGTGATGAGTAAGAAGATAAACAGAATGTGTTTATTCAGAGTTTACTAAATTAAGTCGTTTTGCTGATACTTAAATAGTCCAAAACAATTGAAATTTATTACAAAAAGGAATCAAGACGTTTGTATGATTTTTAAATGTTTGCATGTTTGTAATTAATGAATTAAAGGTTATTATAGAGTTTATTTGCCTTTAGTTGAGAAAGTAATTTAACGATATTTTTATTATTTTTTGTTTTTGTAATTTAGAAGTTTCAACAATTTGAAAATGACAGATTTACCATCAAGACTTTATACTTGGGCAAGTAATGAAATGAAATTTTCTCCTACACCCGATTGTAAATATACATTAAATCCAAATGATTTAAAAGAGTAAGTAATCTATTCGGCTTAATTCGAGCTTTGAATGAGACGGTTGAGACCTTAATACTACGTTTGCACACAATCCATGACTCACTTTGATCTCGATTTACCCACAATCTCAATTGTAACTGTCGCCAGTCAAATGTCAAACTGTTCGCACAGGCCACTTTGAGAAGAACCTGGTTATTATACGTGATGATAAAACTGACATAACTATGCAGTAAGTCATGAACACCAACAAGCAAAATGGAAGTTTTGGTTAGAAATAAATACTTTTTCTTGCCATATATCTAATAATAGACAGATGTCATTGTCTCTCCAAATATATTTTTATTTCTGTTGATAGCCTGACATGTGTTCCGCAGCCATCTTATATTTTCTCACACGCATGGGATTGTGGGATCTCTCTTATGACTGGATCTAGTTTCAAGAACTCTCTTGAGTTGATCGCGATTGAACCTTGTTTCAGTCAAGATTGAAATGGTCGAGAGAGGTTGCACCACGGCATAGTTGCCGACCTTGATTGCAATCTAGATTGAATCGCTCAGTGTGAATGGGCTATAACGGAGCTGTAGATCATACTCGTGAGCAAAAAAATCAATGGAACCATACCCATACAAGTGATTCTTTGTGAGATATTTGCCTCCAAAAATCAGTTTTTACCATGAACCAATACTTTTGCCTGTTCTCCGTGCTCCACATCAATCGAGACTCACTATTGTTTTCTTTGACTGATGCTCTGCATGCAGTCCTGTGCTTTGGTGCTTGCTGTTGCTTGCACTTCACTGCTCGTGTGGGGTGAACCCCCTGAAACTATATACTGGTAACGTCAAGTACTCCACAATCAGTCAAGTTGGCTACTCAAAGCTGGCATAGTCACCTGGGCTA